TTCACAAAACTGCACAAATTTGCTGCTTGGAGACAGTACCTCCGAGGGTCGTGTGGGTGAGAGTAGCGGCACCCCGCCACCCATGACTGCGAAGGCGGACTTCTCGCCATCGGGTCCTGGAACTTTGAAAATGTCCTAGGGGCTTCAAGTAAAGAACCCATGCAAAATTTGAATAATGCTTTTCTGGCAGTCTTCGTTACAGAAAATATCCTATGAATAGTTTAGGCGCTAATGTTAACGAACAGGGCTAATGAACGAACGTTTTGAAAAAACACTATTTAGGTATAAGGGAACACCAAAAAATTACCTGTTAAAATCTCGAAATCGATACTCCGTATAGTGGTGCTTCAGAATGGCACAGACTTTTTCATAGTACTTAGTTATCTAATTCCTTTGGTCTGGATTTGCATTAAGGTTTTCCCCCATTTTTTAAATTTAGCAAATGTATTTATCCAATTTTTTTGATTCCAGGGCCGGGCAAAACGAGTTTTATCACTATTCACTATCACTAGAGGACCTTTTATCACTATCCTTTCAAACAAAATTGGAGCCATTTTCGAGAAAACTGCGTTTGATAATTTCTGGAAATGCACAATTTTGAACTCATTTTTACAGGAAACTTCTGAGTTTTCGAGAAACTTTATCAGACATATTTTGATGTATGTGTACTCATAAATGCAATTATAAGCAAGTCGCTGGTAATGTAAATATTGACGCCGTGGGAAATAGGTCAAACAATACATTTTTATAGATTTTGGAAAAAACAAAAGAATACAGCAAAATGGCCTTCATATTGTTTTATACACATTTAGCCCTATTAATACCAAACTTTAAAGAAAAAAATTAGAGGAGTTTTGAGAAAAACAGCATAAATATTTTTTAATCTTGCCCCCATTTCACAAAAAATTACGGGAAAACTACTAAAATTTTCAGAAAACGTGCATAACCTTATTGAAATAACTAATTGTGAAGAACAAATTTCATTGGAAGAACATTTCTCCATCTTTAATATTGTAGTTGTAGGAAGACGCCGAAAAAATCCAAACTTCTGTAATTTTCGAAAATTGGGAGTTAACAGTGAACATTGAACCTGTTGTCTTTATACTTGCATTTTATTCTATTTTTTCAAGAAATTAAAAAAAAAATGTGAGCTATTTTTGAGAAAATTTTGAAAATGTTCCATGAGCTTTGTGTAAAGCTCTAAAATTTAAAGAATGTTATTCAAAATTGCAGAGCTTTGTGTCAAACCAGATTAAACGTTAAATATTCATTTTGGTAAAACTCCTATGAATAGTTTAGGCGCTAGTGTTCAGATGGACAGAGACGAAAGTTGTGCCGTAAACCAATTTTCCGGTATCAAGGACCCACAAATCATGGAATCTGACTACTCGTGTTAAAGCAAGTAATTTACTACATATTGAAACAAGATGTAAGAATTTTTTTTCTGTGTTAAGGCCTCGCAATACGAGTTTTTCTTCTTTCTCTATACCAGTGAAAGAAGGTACTCCCAAAGGCCACCAGAAGGTACCCCTAAAACCACTCCCAAAAGGCCTACAGCAGAGTCGCCCAGCGATCGGCTCCGAAGAGTAGCCGTTGCTTGCTCCCTGCTCTTTCAATCAATTTTCTCTTAATTCAGATCACACTGCAAATCACTTATTTCTAATTGAAAATCAAAAGGAACAAAGCCTACATGAAGAGAAAAGGTGTAGCAAATATATTAATATATGAGTAAATCAAACAAATCCTTAAATCAAATTTCAACATCCAAACGAAATGTTCTGAAAGCATCAACACCCTCCACAATTTGATATTTCGTGAATGTTTTACAGTTAAGCTAATTTTGACAAGAATGAGAGGTTTTTATTCCCTATTGCAAATTAAACTTTATGTGATTAAGCACGGTTTTGCAAACTATTGTGACATGCCTGGTTTGAGCGCAAGCATCGTACACTGGCAGACGGGCAGATAAATTGACAGACCGTAAACAATTTTTCAAATTGCATCAACCAATTTTTCGGCGATCAGTATACACCAAACGTGAATTCTGACCACACAACGAATTAGAAGTAATTTACTTCTTGTAGAATCAACAATTATCCTCTTTTTAGTTAACATTGGACCATAAATTTTTATATTAATATTACAATTATTTCGCTTCACGCGATGAAGTTTTACCTACTTCGGTGTGACGATCGGACCCGCAAATGTAATTCCGTCAAAATATCGGCATGGATATTTTCACAGAATTACGTAACATTCTTTATAACACGACAGCCTCCTTTCGAGTACCACAACCACATAATGTGCACATAATGCGCGAAAGTGAAAGTAGGCCCTAAGTGTTTTTGGAAAATACGATCAGGGAAAATAATCCAACACTTTTAAATTTTAGAAGAAAATGTTTAATAATCACATGAACTGAGACTGATTATCTTATCTAATCCTTATCACTTTGCCTTCAAAAGCTATTGAATTCACCTTCTAAGTATTAATTCATTCTGTATTCTGGGTGAATCTGAGATGTTGGTGTTCGCTTTTTTTTCAGTATTAGTTATAATAATCGTTCGTTTACTTAATGCACGAAGTCCACCATCATTGAATGGAATCTATCAACATTCTTCCAAATTCTACTATGTCAAATTAATATTTATTTATATTATTCTTCTTATTCGAAAGGTATTACCCAATCAAATATAATTAACAATATTTTCAGTTTTTTTCTATTGTAAAGTGGTCATCTCAAATGAAAATATTGATATACTGATTGTTTTTAAATATTCATTTTTTTCTCCTGATAAATTCTATTATGAATATATAATTTCAGATGCAGAATGATATCCATGTTTTAACTAAGAAACGTTCTCAGCATTCAGGGTATGGATTAAAATCAAAAGTTTCTTTGGAAGAAATGGACATGAAACAAACATTGGGTTCACATCCGAAGGTAAGTAATAGATTAAAAATGCAATTCAGATAACTGTATATAGTACGAATATAATATAATTAATTGTTGTATTCCAGGCAATTGATGCTGTATATTTCAATCTTGCTAATAGCAATGGATGGCACTTAATTGTTGGCACTGCAAGTCGTCCGCATGATGTAGTAAATGGATTTCTTTATCTTAAGGTTTGTTGGTGTGAGCGTGTGTGTTTGTTAGTGTTTTTTGTTGTTGTTTTTTTGGTTTAATTTCCAATGATACAAAATAAAATTCCTAAATCATAATATTCTAAATGAAATAAGTGGTTAAATATTTTAAAATACTTTGAAAATTGTCTCTTTCCTTTTTATACATTCGGAATGCTTTGAGTACACCTCATTGTTTTTTGACAGACTAGTTTTTTAATAAATGAATTATTTAATTTAAGTCATTCATGTTCATAAATTATGTTTTATTAAAAATATGTTAACGTTTTTGAGACATGGTGTCGCCTCACCTTCAGGTAAGTCTGCAATGATTTATTATATAATTATTAATATATTTTATATTTATTATAATATTAATAATTATATATTTTATAATTATTATAATATTAATAATTGTATATTAAATCATTGAAGATGAGGCGACACCCTGTCTTGAAACGTACCATTAACAGATTTTTAATAAAAATTTATGAACATGAATGACTTAAATTAAATAATTCATTTATTCAAAAACTAGTCTGTCAAAAAACAAAGAGGTTTACTAAAAAAATACTGAATGTATGTGACTGAACTTAAGATTTGTGAACATCATCAAGGTTTTGTTAAAATAATCAGTAAATTTCTTTGAATTCTCGTATCAAATGAATAAAAATAAGGTACTAGTTATTTTAATTTTAAGTTTATCTACATGTTTGTGCAAAAACAAGCAAAAGGAAAGAGTGTAACGGGTTTTGCTATAAGAAAAGATGTGCAAATAATTGATGCAAATTCATATTCAATATTCTACAGGTACCTGATATTGGACTTCTTGTTTCTCCTAAATTACCTGACACAATGCTGTTTCGCTCAAAACTGGATAGAGAAAACTCTTATGGTGCAGAGGGACTAATACTGTATCCTTTCCAACCAATGAAAGTGTGGAAAATTCAATACAATGGACCTATGCAGTAAGATCTTTTCTACACTAAGGAAAACTGATAGTTTTGTATTATTTAAAAGACATAATAGGTGAAGAACTCAATAAATGTGTTACTTGTGGATAAGGGATTATTCCCAGGGGTGCATTTGACAGATTTAGGATGAAATTAGAATTCCTTAAATTATTATTCTCTAAATTCCAAAGAAATCAGCAGGAAGCACATACAATCTGAAACACATTCAGCTTAACACATCCATTACCATCAATCATAACTTGGAAATGTGCATATTAGGCCCTAAAACTCAGCTTTGAACCTCTGTATCAGCGTAATGATTTATGTTTCATAGGTTATAATGTACAAAATGAGATCTTTTGAAACTTTGGAAATTTGGCTCTTCTGGGTACTCTAATGTATATAATAGTTTATTGGAAATGAGGACATTCTTGGAACATACATAAAATTAAATTAACTATTTGATATACAGTGCAATTTAGCCTTATTGTGTGGAACTGAATCTTTCTATTTGATAATAAATGCTTAGCAATGTTTAACCATAAAAGTATACAATGACCCATGCGCCTATTAGATGTACAGTACTGTATTTTTGAGTAGCACAGTTCGAGACATGGCTATTGAAAGTTTCATTACATTAATATCTATTTTCACTTTTTAAACTATGATTTTCAAAGTGTGAAATGTTTGCAAGTATTCAACTAGTAATATAAAGAGAGTGAGACATTTCATGCAGTTAAAAAAAACACACCAGCATGTTTTCCATAATAATGAATAATTCTTTTTCCACTTCAGCCTCAAAAGCATAGATTCCTCAGATTGCTTTTTATTTCCAGCATACATATGGAGTAATATATGTAGTATAGAGAAAGTCATGTAATGCTGCACAAAAAAACAAGCTGGTTTTTTTGTCAGAAAAAAATTTATTGCCTGGACCTGATAACAATAAGTCGATTAATCCAGTTGCTAAATTAAGAAGAAAAAAGGTCCTCTAACACGTGGTGTCACCAGAATCTCTGTTTTGTGGGTCCTTGATCCGAAAAACCTATTGATACCAAAAAGTCTGTCTGTGAACACCACTAGCGCCTAAACCACATATATACAATTTTTTCAAAATGGATATTCTCCAATTGATCTGGCTCCACTTGCGCCGTGTTTTTGAAAAACTGTCTTACAAAATTGGGGGTTCTCTACTTGAACCCCCCCGGACATTTTCAAAATTTTCTCAAACATGGGTTCAAATTTTTTCTTCAATTTCTTGTAAAAACAGAGTAAAATACACTTATACACCCTTGTCCCTTCCCTCTTTTGTTTGAAGCTGCACGCACCTATGACAATAACATTATGGCACGTGTATAATCATCAAGACACTGCTGTGGTGTTCTGAAGAGTTTCTCTGCAAAAGGACATCAGAATCATTTGTTCATATAAAAGAGAAGAAGATGATGGTGTATTTTTTTTACATATGAAATGACTTTGTCTCCATATATATGAGTATGAATAAAATATGTAAAGTATGTGTAATACCCACATTTGATATGAAGTGTGTGTGTATTTGTGTCTGTTTCTCTCTCTCTGTGCAAATGATTTGTATGTGCGTGTGGTGTGCACTAACCCATATAATAATCATATAGTGTGTTTGATGCAAGAACATATCCTCAAATTTGAATTTGAATGCATTCTTATTGTAGCATATATGGGGATCCAGAGAACAAATTCGATGTAAAATTGAATGCAGTATGGAGTTCTGATTTGCCATACTTTGATTTTGATACTGACATGAACAAATACTCTGTGGCAAAGAGCATGGCATCGGAACCTTGGAGTAGAGAGTATTTTAAAAATCTCAATGAGTAAGCTACAATGCATTAGTTTCTAGATAAATGTTTTTATAATAAAATACAGTTCAACAGTTCAATGTGTTTGATTTCCAGATTTCATCAGACTCACTATGAACAGCATGGGGATGCTCACATACAACTACATCTTCAAGAAAAACTGTACAAAGTAAAAGTAAATGGTGTCAGGGACCATAGTTATGCAGAGAAAAGAGAATGGAAATTATTTCATCGTTATGCTTTACACTTTATCACTTTAGAAAGTGGTGTAAGAATATCAGTGGGAATTGTTTGCATGCCACTTGCCTTTACACGGTTAGTAAAATTCTTTTGGCACATGAATGATGCTTATACCAGTAAAGAAAATTTTCATTTTCTCATGATATGCTCATTGTAGTGTTCAATCATCACTCAATTAAAGTCATGGACAAAATCAGGACTTAAGTTAGGGATGGGAAAAATAAGACTATTTCATATCATTGTAGGAGGATAAGAGGAATTCATGATACTCACACCACCAACAAAAGGTATTAAGTATTAACTAACCCCCAAATAAATTTTACTCTACTGAGAACATAAAAAGTGACATAAAAACTAAACTGTTTGTTTACTTGAAAATGTTAAGTACCAATTCTAATTTTAAATTATTCAATCTAAATGTTATTTGAAGTCTGCCAATATATTGTCCTTCCCACTCAATGATCCCTTCTTTACCCTACCTTTTGCTATGCCTATGCTCAATTCAAAGATGGAATGGTCATAAAATAATTTTTCTCTCTTGATATCAATTTGTTCAATATCAATTGTCCTTAAGAGGTATCTCTTTCCAGTATAAAGAAAGGATTTATACCTATTTTACTTATTTTAAAGGGAATATCTTTCATTATAAATTTTGGAAATCTCAATTTAAACTTAATTTTCCACATGAAAAATAATTTGATTGATAATAGAGATTTCATTTACAAAAATTATATCAAGTTCTGTTATGTAAAAGTTACAATATTTTGTAATAATTAGCACATTTCCTCAATTCAAATTTTAAGTATCAGGTTCTCACAAAGAATATATTGTACGAATTTCATCAATATGTTTAGGTTGATTGTCGGATATTTGTATTCACAAAACGGAGAAATAGTGAGTGTTCACAAATGCAGTCTACAACTTCCTCAACATGGTAACAACGGAAATCCCCCTTCTGACTACGGATTTTCATTTGAAGCAGGTACTGTATGGAGAGAGGAATATTATTTTTAACTTTCTAAATTTCAAATAACAACGAACTTTCATTGTTGCAGGAGGACATACATATGATGTGCAAGTGAATGTGTATGACAGAACAGAATTTTATATTGGATGGGAATGGGAAGCTCGAGTAGTTGAACTACTTGCCCAATTTACAGTCAATGGTGTGAGAGGTTGGGGTGCATGTGAATGGCAATATCGTAATGTGAAAGGACGTCCTTTACAACTTTTGCAAAGTGATCCTACCTGGACAAAGAACATTAATAAAGGTTGACTGAGAATATATGAAAATTTCATTTTCTTTATCTATTGAAAATTAATTAGTACCTAACAAAAATATTGACATAGTTTGAAGAGAATAATTGAAATAAAGAAAAGTTGAAAAGAAATTACAGTAAGTGTTCATGTAAATAAATACCACCACAAATGCTCTTCATTAGATTTATTTATTTAATATTTACAATAACAGGCTTGTGTTAATTAAATAGTTTCATGTCATAACTAAATTGCAGGAACGTCTGAAACAACTTACAGAATATACATATGTACTAACATTTCAACAAATATTAATATAACTGAGATAAAATATTTTAATACGTTTGTTTTTTCTGGTTTTAGTTGATTAGAAAAAATAAACACTAAAGAAGTCACTAAAATCAACATAAATTTCATTAAATAAAGAGAATTTCCTAGTACAAACTAGATAATTTGCTTTTTTTAAATTAATTATTAATATTATTATAATTATGGACAAACAAAATTTCTTCTGATATTAAATAGATTGTTATTTGATATATATAATGCATATGTGTCTACAAAACATTTTTTAAGAACCCTCTCCCAAACAATAAAGGTTTTTAGCAAAAACAAGTATTTTGTTAATTCAGGATAAAGGAATACGAGCAGCTGCTTCTGTAGGATCAGATACACAACATGATAGTAGACAGATAGATGGACGTGGGTTACAAATTGAGGGTCGCAGAATTAGAATTCGAGCTGCACATCTCTCCAATAATAATGTCCACTTAAGTTGAGTTTTATTTTCAAGAGACATTGATGAAAATTGTTTTGCCTGTGAATAAAATATGATATATATGTATAAATATAATTTAAATAGCTAAATCAAAAATAAATTTAAACCTCTCATATACCCCTATAATTTTTTCATAGAAATTAAGAAGAAGTAATAAACAGCGTAATAAACTCTGTGAATATAACATGATTAAAAAAAAATCGGTGCGACTTTAGCTTTTGTTGTATATACAGACAAAATTGTGAAGCTCTATAATTCATTGACATAACATTTTAATTAAAATAGTGATTATTTGGAATGCATTGTATGGAAGGACCTATTTATGAGGCATTTTCATGGCAAGCTATACAATGTCATTTGCTTTGTTTCTATGGAATATCAACCTACAATCAAGGAACATTACAAGCTATCTGACATGTAGACCAGCCAAAGTATGATGCCTCCAATATTTTCTATTGGAGATGAAACTCTTAAAATCCATTAATGTACCTTATGGACATTATAAAATGAAACTACAGTAATCTCATTAAATCACTGTATATATCAACAACAAAAATATTTTCCAACAAATAAAAATGCACAATGGACATTTTAGTTTATTGAAGATATTTTGGTAAAGTTCTTTTAGGATATATTATCTAATCTGTGATCACATTTTGTTTCAATTATCAAAAATTCTAGCATTTTGTGAATCAATAATAAACCCTTAATTTTACCCTAATTAATAAACATTATTAATAACCTTTAATTATTATTATTATTATGATTATTACTCATCATCTATCATTATTTTTATTATTATTATTATTATTATTATTATTATTATTATTATTATTATTATTATTATTATCCATTATCATTATCATTATTAGCTGTGTAACTATACCGTGCATTTCAAGACTCTCTCAGCACTCAAACCATTGAGTCGACAAAACTCCAAGGATCCTGTATGGTCTGTAAGAGAGACTCGCAGATCAAATGATGTTTCAATAGATCCTCTAAAAGAACCATTTCCAACACGACATTCTGAATTCATGCATAATTCATTTTCAACTGGAAGTTCACAACTGTTACTGCAAGAAAAACACACTTATGATAAAGTTAACATATTAATTAATACTTATTATAAAATTATACGTACTCAAATATACAACACAGTTAAATGACACATTTATGTCCTTGACAATAATGAAGACTTTTTATGTTTATCAGAATTTTATTTGCCAATCTCTTCCACCTGGGCTAGCATTTTGGTTTTCTCCCTCCCTCCTCCCAGCAGCTACCTATTGGTGCCTTCAAGACATTTTTGTACATTTCCTCACTTTTTTAGTCCCATAATTACAGAATTAAAGTATGACTTTAAGAATATTATACAATAGTAAAACCTCATCCTATAACCAAATTTTCCTTGATTCCAAATTTTCCTTGGATTCATTTTCGAACAAAAGATATTTAATAACTAATTTTGGGACATTCTTGAGAAATATAAAGAAAACATCAAAATAGTGTTTTTGTCATGTTTTTAATTTTATGTAGCACTATTTGTGAAAAAGTTTAAATAAAAATTTGAAGCCAAACACTACTAATATTTTTAAGAAAATGTGCATAATATTAATTAAAGAACTAATTTAGGGGGGGGGGGGGAATTCAATTGAAGAAAAAACCATGAATATGAAATGAATTCTTTGAATTTTGCGGGTTCTTTACAAGAAGCCATATGGGCAAACTCAAACCTTTTCCAAGAAAATGAGCTTAAAAAAGCATGATTTCAGAAACGCACAAAATTTTCCTAATAACAGTTGCATACTACGTTTTACACTTCTATAAGTTTGTTAGTTGCAATCCCATAGTAGTATTAGGTGGCGCCAATAGATAGCAGCAGGGAAGAGGGAGGGGCAAAACACATCAGCACATACTTTTTCGTATCATTTCTAAATTTTAAAATTTTCGAAAATGAAGAGTTCAACAAAAATTAGACCTGTGCCATTTTTTTAAGCGTTTCTATTTCTACTAGAGGAAAGAGTTTAAAGAAAAAAAATAGAGTGGTTTTTGAGATTTTTTTTTTACACATTGCATAAATTCTAGGCACTTTAAAAACTACTCGTTTTTCAAACAAATATATTTTAAATTATGAAATTTATTTATTTATATAAAAATTATGAAAGTTTAAGACAAAAATCTCTATCTTCAATTTTGTAGTTTTGAAATGTTAAAAGTTAGCAATTTTCGAAAATACACAGAATTCGCCGGAAATGAGACTAGCACCGGCCACGGGCAGCGCGCGATCTCACCTACCTCTCCTTGTCCTATCCTCACCTCTCACACTAACAATCACTACATTACCACACATGCCGCGAGACCCGTCAGGAGCTAAGGGCTTGACTCGGCTGGGGCGGTGCCGTGCTGGTGGGAACTACTTGACTGGAGAAAAACGCCCGCTAGCCGACCGCTTGTCGGCGCGGGATCTCGCCATACAACGAGGGAAAGATCACCGCCACCTCCCGAGCAAAAACATGCATGACACTTACGGGATTAATGCCCTTGGTAGTTGATGTGTCCGGTACCACTAAACAATCAATCAAAAAACCGATGCGTGATGTCAGGTCGAATAATGTACGATGTACATGGTACCTAGGGGTGCACAGTGAAGCACATTGGGATGATTTTGAATTAGAGAAAAAAATCCTTGAATCTAAACAACCTATTGTTACATAGATGTTGACCCTGACAGAGCGCATGCGCTAGGCGCACAATGTTCTTGCACGAAATACGAAATAGATGAAAAGTGACATTCATTTTTTGACTGATAAGACAGGACTTTTGTCAACTTATTTTATTTTGTGTACCTGTAAAACCTTTCGCGGGCCACAATAAATTGCACCAAGGGCCGCTAGTTAGACAACGCTGTTTTAGAGGATCAGGACGGGAACAGGTAAGACGGCACAACACTGCACCCGTAACGCACTTCAGTCAAATCGAGCGGCAAGTTCTTCGCAAGAGTTGTTACACTTCTGTCGGTCTACTTGGCGCAATGAAAATATCCTCGCTCCTGAAAAACCTTACCTTTGAAATTAACCAGATTTTGGGTAGTTTTTGTGTAATTTGCGAATGAAAAGTAGGATTTTTTTCTCAAAATTCGCTCCAATTTTGTTCTTTAAATTTTCTTCCCTTATGTAATAAGAGCTGGTAAAAAATAGACTAGACTGAGGCTAGACCCAATTTCGGGTACCGCTCGGTTTTTTGGGAATTTCTAAAATGTATTTCAAAACTACAAAATCGAAGATAGAGAGTTTTGCCACGAACAAAGTCTGTTGGACAAAATAAACTCTTTAAAAAATGTCATGTACAATTTTGCATTCTTTCTGCAATGAAATATATGCAGGTTTTTCACCGTCTATGAGTCACTAGTAAAAAAACTGAATGAATTATATGAAAAATAATTTAATTTTAATTATAATTTTCTATTGAAAATGCCCATTTAATTCTATTTTTTCTCTTATTCTATCTTGCTTTTTTCCTTTTTACTCAAAATGAATTCACAATGTATTTATTTTTAAGCAATTCGCAAAGCTTAATAGAAATTTCGCAACAATCCTGCATCGATATTTGAGAAGCATTTGTTTTGTTAATATTATCTTATCCCTCTTTCAAGAATTCATGGACACTCTTTGTTAAAAAACAGTAATATGCATTGTATCTGAAGTGTGAATGTTAGAAGTCAGTCATGAAATGAAACGCTATCGGAACTGTTATCTTACGACAAAAGGCAACTCATGAATACACAGCCAGAATTTTCGTAATTATTTTGATGTCAATTGCATACATTCTAATAACTGTAAATTTTCCTTCCCTGGCCATGCAACCTGGTGATGTTAATTGTATATTGTACATAAATATTATTTATTATTTAATAAATAAATCTATAATAACACTTCAATAAATTCTATTTTAAAACATGAAATTTTTCTATTAAAAGTATGTAATTATAGTACTCGTTTTGTATGTGGCACAATGTACTTGCATCAGGGCAGGAACCCAGTGTGCAATGGCCCTGATTATAAATACCACCTGGAAGTGATACATTTAAGTCATTTGTGATTCAAATTATTTAAATAACTGTAATTTATGTTTGAAAATGAGGAATATGTAAGGAATACCAATTTCCAGTAAATAAGTAATTGTTAAGTGCTTTCTGGTTTCAAGAAAAAATAATCAGACTTATGAAAAGAAAAGACAATATTTTCACATACCATTTAGTTACAACCATTGGGGTAGAACCGTCAAGATCCATGTGTGTAATCAAGCAATATATAAGAGCAGTGAATTGTGAATCATCTCCACTAGATCCATCTTCACTGCTGAACTTACAACGATCCAAAACTTGTTGTATGGTCATAACTTGGCGTACACTTGCAGCTAGATCCAATAAAAAATCTTATTTAATTTAAGATCAAGAAAATTTCTAAATTTGAAATTTTGGTTGGAATTTTATTTTATTGGGTTACATTTAATTTTTAATTGAATGCTTTAAATGTTCTTAAAAACCGGGACAAAATAATAGTAGAAAGTCTGAGAAAGTGAAGGGAGAAGAAAAAAAAAAGTGGAAGCAAAAAAAAAAGAACAAAAAAAAAAAAAAAAAAACAACCAACAAACGGACAAAATGAAAGATAATAGTCTTAAGAAACAAAAATCTACAGAAACTATGGACCACATTCAATATGACACAGAAATATTCCCATCTCATTGACAGAAAGAATCCTGACACACAGCCCTTAACCAGTAAGAAAAGCTTAAATAATGAACAGAAAACAACAGTGGCAGCTTCTTGGGGTAGGCAAGGCAGGCACTACCTCACCTAATGAATATGTTCAGAGGTTGAGAGACAAATTTAGGGAGGGGAAATTCAAAACGTTTTGGTCAAAAGTGTCATATTACAGATTTTGTAAAATGTCGCAGGGTACACTCAATTCATGCTGCGATACGATTTTATTCATTTCAATGACTATCCAAAAATATTTTTGCTTGAAAGTTTCATAACAAGTTAAAATTAACAGTTACTGTAAAATTATAAGGTGGGAAATTTCCCTCATATCCCTTCATGTGGATCCATGTCTGATTTAGCCTAAGTACTTACGATCAACTATAGAATTTGCTAATTTGTCTAAAATAGCATTAGCATGTGTAGGAGTATTCCAGGCATAATTTCTCAATGCTTCAGCTTCAGCAACATTTGGATTCTCAGTAATAATTGTTGAGCTTCTATCCACAGCTATAAAGCAACGCTTATATAAGTTCCACTCTATTCTCACATCTGCTAGAAAAAGAACTAAAAAACACAATTATTAAGATAATCTATGTTTTAACATTGAATTAACAAAATCAATAAGAAATATCCTCTTTTCTTTTAACAGTACATTCATATTAAAAATAATACCTGTGTCTCGAGGTTTCCAACTATCTGCCAGTTGGACAATATCAGAGTTCCAGATTTGTAATGGCAATTCATCACTAGTATAGTCCATTACTATGACAACACGATTGATCATTTTACGACCATCTTTAGTTGTTATTGTGCGCATTGGGTCAACCTTAAAAAAATGTCAGAGGTTTCTTTGTATTTTCTAATCAAACACTGATATTGAATAAAATAAACTACATCTTTTGTACTCACACTTCGAACAGCCACTAAAAGATCGACAGTCTCATTCCCTATGTGCGCACCTTTACTGTGAATATCTGCTATTGTAAAAATATTAGTGATGGGTTTCGTTGGATAGTTTTTTAATTCAAAAAAAGTAGCACAATCATCTCCTTCATGATGAATTATTTTACCATTGCTATCTGACATTGTAAGCTGAAAAGGACTGAAAAAAAGATATGTGTACATAAAATGTAATGATTGCACAAATTTAGGTTAATTTTAATGTATGAACATTGTAACAGTGCATTTAGTGAAAAGAGTTGAAATTTTTATACATGTGTTTTCATACCAAATTATTTACACAATAAAAATAATTATTCAATTACAAAATGAAAGAAATTGAAATTAGAAATTTTTTATGTTATTTTGCATTTAAAATATCGAATGAGATTACCTTGATACAAACGGTCTAAAATTGTCAGTGGTCGTTCGCACTGAAATCTTAGCATTAATGATATCAACTGGAAAAGAAATATTTTAGTTTAGATTTTCTAAGAAAAGATTAATAAAAATAAAAATAAGAACTCAAATTTAAATTCTTATGTCAATTTTTTAATATTAATTCAGGTATCTTACCAACATCACCTACGTGAAACAAATCAGCCAGACCATTGAGATGAGGAAGGGAACCCCAAAAGGTAACATTAATGAAATCTTCAAGTGAGTCTCTCAATGTTATATCCCACACTGCCCTCTGACCATCCAAACCTAAATTGGAAAGCAATGTATCCAAAAAACAACTTTACATTAAGTGAACTATAAATTTTACTTTGGGGAAATTAAAATTATTTTTTATAAAGATCTTTGTAGCTCTAATCTTTCTTCCAAATTGAATATATACAAAAATATAAAAAAAAATATTCAAATAAAAACACAAATGTATCTAAACAATTACACAAAAAGTCCATTAGAGCAAATGTCTCTATAATATCAGCTCCATCACACAGTGTTAACATTTCAATTTTTTATTAGATTTATAATTTTAGCCTATTTTTTTAAGAAGTGAATTTTTATCGTTTCTATGTACTTTTAAGAGCCAAAACAAAACTCTGAATTTATCAATCTGGGTCTTAAATTAAATTTCGAACACACCTTCTTTTTTTATTTTTCTTGGTGTCTGCCTCCCAATAATAACTCCGACAATTAAATTATCAGTTAATCCAGGCTTAAGAGCATTTATTGAAACACGAGTAACTCCACCGAGAGACATTTTAGCTCACAACACACACAGAAGTAATTCGTTTTAACCGCTTTTAGCGATGAGGGTGCGTTTTATTCATTTCTCTTCGGTGATCTTTCCAAGATCCTAGTGTCTAAGAATACGAAGCGCTCTGACCTGAGAGCACTATCATGAAAGAATACTAGAGTTGTTCTATGACACTGTCATGGATGGTATTAATCTATGGTAGAACTATGGAAGAAAACTTGTTCTATTGTTGCAAAAATATTCTTCTGTACTAGAACCACTGATATTTATAGACTGTATATTTTACGCGCACGTTTTCTTAGTATTTGAGTATAGAGAAGTATCCTCTGGGGACGTTTTCTTAAGCTCTAGAATTTCTTCCCAACATTGTATTAGTGGGTATTAGACTCGTATGTAGTTCTGTGCATGGTGGAAACCATGATCTGATGTAAATATTATATATACATTTACATCTTTAACATGAAAGAATATGTTCTATGTTACCCCAGTACAATATAGTATACTGTTATACCATGGTGTTAATCTATGGTTGACCCACAGTCTAATAATTAAGACTGTGGTTATACCATGGATGAATATGTGTTAACGTATGGTTGGTTATACCATGTATTCATCCATAGTTATACTGTTATGCTATTATGTCACTGAGCTCCTCAGTCTGAGCATACTCGCTTTCTCAATGCTATAGCAGGATTCGTATGATTGGTTGTAGACGGTCGGTCAAAGGATCTCTCATCTCGGCGGGAAACACAGTATCATAAGCACAACGATTAGTTTTTATATTGTGTAAGTGTATACTTTCGCCCTAGAATTATTGACTGCTATTGACTTCGTGATCATGGCTGATATTAAAGGCGGGAAACCTTTCGCGTTATAAGTATTCGCAAGCGATCAGGTGTTTGGGACGAAAAGGAATTCATGTGGGATTGGTAATTGATAAAAACAAAGGATAATTGACCGTTGGTAATGACGAATTGCGAGTAGAAGTTTCTTTTTATGTATGAAAAATATTGGAATGAGAAAATGAATTTTCGTATGTTAACTTGATGTGCATCCAATTTTTACGCGCGTCCCTGTTATTGTATCGTTGATAGTATACATTTTTAGAGCGAAGCTGTGGCGCATAAAAGGATGTTGCTGATAATTGTCAATGAAAATGATTTTCAAATTTCAAGAGTAATAATCTTATAAAATATTATTTTGCCAAATTAAGAGCCTTTGGAAGTTAGCCAATTATAAAAACAATGATTCAAAAATCGTGAGACTGAGCTGACCTTCAGTAATATGAAATAAAATATGTAAATATTCTGAATGATGAAATTATATTTTTCAGACATTCCAATTTGAAATTTGAAACTGCTTGATGTGTGATGGAGGAGCAAGTATTGGTTAACATATCCAAGTATGTAAAATATACACAATTTGGTTAATGGTTTATTTTTTAGTTGTTTCATGTATTTGTTATCTTGTTTCAGATTATTTCCTCTTTTACATTCAACTTATCAAGCCATAAACCTCACTTATCAAGTGCTTGATGTTAATTGTTACGAACAGCAGAATGTATTAAAAAGATGGATTTTGCCAGTTAAGGAAGAATCTTATGAATGCACGTGCACACCAGATTTTGAGGAGCCAGAAGATATGGTAAACGATATACAATGTGCTGTAGAAAGAGCTAAAACCACAAGGAAAATAATGAAAGTCAATGATAAGCGATATAATAGAAGTGAAGTAACAAATTCTCCGTTAGAGAGCTTAAAGACTAATCACTTTAAAGATGCTCAGAAAGGAAAAGTAAATGATTCTATTAATAAAAACAGTGAAAAGTGTTCAATTAAAAGTGTAGGAAATAAAATTAGTGCAGAGAGAGATATTCATACCCATCATGTGAAGCAAAGAGAGCCTAAATTGAGAACGAATATTAAGATAAATAAAGCACATACTTTCCAGACTACATATCAAAAAGACTTTTCTGTGAGAAATTCACACAAAACGTCACAGACAATTGCTAATAAGATGAAGCATCCTGTAAAGCAGTGTGCAACAACTGTGGACATTAAAGTAGAAAATGCTGAGAATGTTGACAGTTTATTAGAGAAAGTATCAACAGGCTTTTGTAAAACTTCTGATGTAAAAATGAATTCTTTTCAGAATGTGAAGGGTGATAATTGTATTTTGCATGGTGAAATCTCTCAACGTGTTGTGCATAGATGTGTTAATTTGAATGAAGCTATGAATTCACTCGGTGCTCCTCCAGAGTTGGTGAAGTTATTAAGAACTTTCCATCAGTACGTTAATGTTGCTGATAAGTTGCAATTGAAAAGAAAATGCAGTAAACAATCTTTTTTACAAAAATTAAATGAATCGGTAAGTTAAAATTTATTTTCAGTTTTTTCTTTAAGGAAGAGAAGTGTAGTGCATAAATGCATTGTATGAAAAACTCATATAGGAAGGTAGTGTGTAAATTGAATTAAAATATACTGGTTTGAATAGAACTTAACAATTCTGTACATGTACTTTTTGTGTTTGTAAAACACTAAATATTGCATTGCATGTATTTCATTGGGTTGCTGTTCTAAATTTTCATGGAATTCTATTTATACAATTGTGCGTATTGATAATGTGTGAATGTAACAGTCAAATTTGTAATGTCCAACGGTAATACAAGAACAATATTGCCGTAATTCATTAATAAGATTTATATGTGTGGGTACACATAGGGGTCCCAGTGTTTTGGTTTTCTCACTGCATCTTCAAAGTGGAATTCAGATTCTCCAGAGGGATCAGATGAATTACTCAGTCCACTTGACATTCTCCTGAGATTTCTTGGAGCTCATAATAATTAGTACAATTATTGTGCTCGAGAGTGATTGATAACTGGCAATCAAATTGAGTTTTAAATTTCTACAATAATGGTGCTAAAACCGTGCCCTTTGGGAGTTTGTGCAAAAAGTCTGTCTTACAATGTATTTTATTTTAGAAATAGTTTAAATTTCTTCTTAATTACCAACTTAAAGGCATGGGTGATATGATAAAAAAACGTTTTTGAATACTTTAATAATGACATAGTATTTTGTATTATTGTTAAATTTCATAGTATGTCATTGGGTTCTCTGCATGTTGGTACTAGTAGAGAGTACTAAACTCTTATATTATTGAAAGTAATGATTGTGTATGTGTAGATTGGTAAACTAAACTCTTGCTACTGCTTCATGGAGAATTTGAAACATATTTTAATTTTGGGAAGTACTTTACACGAATCTTCATAAACATTTTCAAAAATTTGTAAACACTATTGCATTTGTGAGTGGAAGTGCTTCATATGACTTCCCCTGTAGTTTTTCGGAAACTCAAAAATTTCTGTGAAGTAGAACTTTAATTGCTTAAACACCATTTTCTAAAATCTGCTCCAAATTTTTCAATGAAAATTTCTTTATAGAATGAGGTTTTATTTTGCTTTGCTACAATGCTTCAGTGGTATGAATGTGAGTATGTTGCATCAGTAATGACGTTAGGTCTGAGAGACCAATGAGACATTTCTTCTGAATTGTTTTTAGAAATGAATTTTTATCCTTTGTTAGCAAAATATATTTATTCTAGACGAGAAGTAAAACAAATTACAACTGATATTTAGACAAAATCATTACACAACATATCTTCATTTGATCTTATATTGTAAACTGCAGCACCGCTGGTAAATGTGTACTAATAATTTTATATTTCATGAAATTCAACCTTTTAAGCGTATTTTAAAATTTTGTAATATAACTAACTGAAAATTCCGCATTCTCAGAAATGGTTAAACACCAATATCTCAAAACCGGCTCAAAACTTTTTCTTCAAACTTTTCACACATATAGTGTTAATTACACTGTTTAAAATCACAAAATTAATATTAATGTATTATTTCGTGTTTTGTTTTTTTTTTCTTTTCTTTTTTTCTTTCAAAAATTACATCAATTTTTTAAATATCTCTCACGCCTTTGATGTGCACATTTTCAGTTACTTGCAAACATTATTGCATTTGTTGAATGGAAGATGACTTCTAATAATGTTTTTTTTTTTTTGAAAACTCAAATATTTCTGTGAGAAAGAGCTTCAAATGTCGCAAATACACTAACGCTTAAACACCATTTTCCTAAAAACCTAATTCAATTTTTTCAATGAAAATTACCGTACAGGACTAGGTTTACTTTTCTATAATTATCATAAAGTAATATTTCGGTTGCTTCATTAGGAAACCTAAAAATTTAGAACATTTTAAAAACTGTATTTGGGCGGCGATAGATGCTGGCCAGAGAGTGCTCCAATATCGAAAATCTAAGTCAGATCAAAGAAATTAGAAAACTATCCACTTCCAGAATGTATGTGCCATTCTGTTGCACTACAAGTTTTTTCTTTCTCTGATACTTCGTACAGAAAAAGTTATGTAATGCTGCGGGAAATCGATTTCGACTTCAACGGAAATACGTGTTTTGGGATCTCCTGATACTGAAAAAGTGATGTTTTTTTTTTTCAAAACGCCTGTCCGTCGCCGTCTGTCTGTGAACACAACTATTGTCTAAACCATACGTAGGATTTTTTTTCCAAAATGGATATTGTCCGGTCGATCTGGTTCGACTCAAAGGTTTGCTATTTTCAAAAACATCCTTCAAAATGTGTGGGTTCTTGAGATGAAGCCCCTGACACATTTTCAAAATTTTCCCAAAAATGGCTCAAATTTTTTTCTTTAAATTTTTTGAAAGAATATAATAAAGTACACTTATGAAGATTGCATGGGTCCGTTTTTCACTATAGACTGTAAAGTTTCGAAAATTGCAAAAGTTTGAATTTTTTCGTCGTCCTACAAATACAGTATTGAAGATAGAGATTTTTCCTTAAAGTAAATTTTTTCTCCATATCTAGTCCTTTCATTAAAGTCATGCGCATTAAAAATATTTTTGCGCAATTTGTGCAATTTCAAAATTTACCAAAAACAAGATTTTCTCAATAAAAGCTCAAAAAATGTTTATAAACTTATGATGGGGATAGTGCTAAATGTACTCTATAAGATGGCACAAATGCCATATTGCTCTATTTGCTTTCTTTCAAAAATTACAAAAACGTATTTGTTTTACTTTTCTTCCGCGTCGTTAATATTTACATTAGCGGCGACTTGTTCACATTATTGTATTTATAAATGCCCGTGCTTTATATAATGTTACATAAAGTTCCTCGAAAAGTCAATAGTTTTCTGTGAAAATGAGCTCAAATTTCCGCATTTTCAGAAAAGCGCAAGCGCAATTTTCTCAAGGATGGCTCCAATTTTGTCTTGCTACTTTTTCAACTGATAGTGCTAATTACACTGTTAAATATGACAAAGTTCATTTTAGGGCATTCTTTTGTTGTTGTTGTTGTTTTTCTCTCAAAAATTACAATTAAAAAAAAACTCTCCCGCCGTTAACATGGACATTTCTGGCGATTTGTAAACACTGTTGAATTTGTGAGTGGAAGAGCTTTATATGACTTCCAATGAAGTTTTTCGAACACTCAAAAGTTTTATGTGTAAAAGAGCTTAAAATTTCGCATTTACAGTAACGCGTAAACGCAATATTCTTAAAAACGGCTTTAATTTTTCAATGAAAATTGCCATTGAGGACCTTTATTTAATATCCTCTTAAGTAATATTTCGGTTCTACTATTTAAGACCGAAAAATTGTTCAAATATTTTTAAAAATATACTTTGGGCGGCGATACACGTTAGTCGGCAAGAGTGTGACAAGATGGAATATAATTCTTTCATTACTGAACACGATTGGAAGTATTTTTTCTGACCGTTCACTGATGTCAGATTCACAGGCGAGCTGAAACTATTCGACATATGAAGAGTCTTTTGCCTTGGTTTCCTCAGCGGAACTCGAGCGATAGAGAAAAAAAAGCGCCCGACCGCGAAACAAAATCCGCCACGGATTCAAAGCTGCCGCGACGCTTGCCTGCCGCGCAATTCGGAACGTGCTCATTACGTCACGTGGCGAGAAATTTCCGCTGCGGGCATATCGCCTAGGGTGAGGATCTTCCGCGCCGGACTGTGGGAGCCTTAAATTCAGTAATAGGAGAAAGTGTGTTCTGTTAGTTTCTTGTTAAAACCATCAAATTATTTGTTACCAACATTTGTGAAATCTGTTACAAATAGAGGTTTTAAATGAGAATGGGGAAAGTTATGGAGCATCAGTATTTTGCTAGTTCTAGAGCATGTTTTCAACGTTAATTTTGTTGGAATATTGTTAAATTATTAGTAAACTTTCTGAATATTTTCTGTAAGCACCCACTACTTGTTTAGAAAATTAACAGTGGTACAAGGTTATCTCTAAAATGTTCTTTCCACTTTTTTTTAAGAATCAATATTGGCATCGTGCAGAACCTGAGCCTGTTATGAAATTGTGTTTGCGTTACCTTCTTGCATTTGTTAATATTATACCAAAGAAGAAGTTTGAATGGAGTGGAATCAACCTCAAAGAAATGGAAGAGGAGTTTAATTTGCTAAGTCAAAGTTATAATAAAAGATTAGATTTCAACGAATCACTATCTGAAAATGTGTTTCGTGTAAGGAAGGAATCAGAATTAATTGTATTTGAAAATACTGCCAAAAAAATACATTGGGCTTTGACTGGAGTATGGAATAGAAAGTGTTGGAGCATGTTCTCAGGTAATGGAAAATCATTTGATATTTTAGAAAGTTGAAATTAATCATTAACCATGTCATTGTTTAAACATTAAGAAATGTAATAAATATGCTTTCTACTTCTCATCCTTGGGTAAAAGAAACCACAATTATTTTAAGTATGTATACTCTTCCTTTTGGCATACATGTACATAATTAGAAAACTGAACAAAAACATTTCATGTACAAATATCTAAATTCACAAAACAAGTATTCTGACTATTGTGCCTATGAAACTAATGCGTGCATAAAAATAATCCAAGGGAAGAGAGTAGGCAACCTTTTGGTTTCTGTGTCTTCTGCGAAAGGCTGTGCTGAAGCTCTTCATTCATTCAGTTGAGAGGGCAATACATTGTAGAAAATGCCAGAAGTGATAGATTTCGAGTTCCGACGAATTATTTGGCTAGCAGAAATAGGAACTTATATGTTGTAATTTAATGCGTGACTTCATAGCAGTGCACCGTATAGAAAGTAGCGCCCATGTGGTGAACCTCGCACCGTGTATAGACGATCGCCAAGGCGAGCAGCAGGGAACGAAGCCAAGGACGTTCTTCCACCGCCGCCATCGCTGGAGGAACATTTGGACCGTGGAGTGATGTAAGAGGCGTCATCTCTGAAGATGCTCACTCCCG